CTCAGTTTACGTAAGAGACCATAAACGCCCAGCACTACAACCTTTCTCATCACCACCAGAACCTCTCTGCAGAATCCAAACATCCGTCCTAGCGGTGTTTTTTCGAAAGGAGTTTTTGGCCAAACCCTGTCCTATGGCGTGTGTCCCACAGGCGCTTTTTGAAGGAAAAGGCAAGTCGACTGAAATGTCAGTAGTTACGGCAAAGAAAGGAAATTCTTCACTCCGAATTGAGCACACAAAGCCAAGTAACGAAGATTCCTCAGACTGAAAACAAGACTGAGCCGCAACAGCAAGGGGCCTGATCCCCAGTGGTCACCTTGGTGGCAAGAGCGCAGCGCGCAGCAGCAACCACATGGGGGGCTAGCCGAAAGTTGGCACACGATTGTGTTTAACACCAAAGCCTTGCAGGGCTGGAAGCACGCCAGCTTGCAGGTTCTGCTCTCTGCAGATCGCAAGTCGTTAGGGTTCCAGTCCGTTGGGATGTTCCAGTCTTTGGCAAGCTTGATCATGACACTCGCAATGGCAGTAGACTGGTCCAGCTCAACGGCACCTTTTGGGCAGCAAGCTTCCCTCGCCTGCCGTGCGAGACACGGCAGGAAACATGCTGGAAATAATGTTCGGCCAAAGCTGTTTGCCCCACTCTAAGGCTCGAAAAGGGAAAGAAAACAAGGGATGAAGTTTCATAACGCCGTGAGACTGTCTGCGTAGGTATTTGTCATTTATTTGGGGCGGTTGGCCTCAGTTGCGCTACGCGCGCTCTGACAGACGCGGGGTTGGCCGCAGAAAGCTACACTTGTGGAGCGCATCCGCGCCTGCTTGATAGCGAGCATGCATTCCCCGTGCTGCTGAGCGAAGGCAAGGAACTTCTCTTGTCGGGCAGTAACATTGGATTTCCCACAGCTCTCCATTCTCAAGAGACAGTGGCTCTTCCCCTCCAGAGTTACCGCGCAGGACGGGTTTAAAAACATCTGTGCTAGGCCTGTTGGTGAAACAAGCCCGCCTGCGACAAAGGACTCCCAGGCGGCCTTGCCGGCAAAGGTTTCTGACCAGAGCCAGCAGTCCCAAGATGCAAAGACGGTATAGTCGGGTCGGCCGCAAAATCCGCTCCATCTTCTACATTCGACCATGCGTCGCTCGAACCTCTGCTGCTTTCCGACTGAGCTTGATGCCTCTCGGATCAAGTGCGGCCACTGCTGAAGAGCATCCGGCAAGCACTCAGAGCGCAGCCTCTTGTTCCTGTTCTTGGCCTTAGCGCCCGCGCCGGGTTTGCAGCCAAGGACAGCCTGTTCACAGCGTGAGGTGTAAAGAAAGTTGTAGACATTGATGCGTGAGTCTCGCGCACCAAGCGCTCCGACCCAGAAATGGAATCAGCTGTGGCCTTGGCTGAATCATCTGGGCTCGCAGCGTCTGTTTCCCGCGCCATTTGGGCGAGCAACCAAACAGCTGCAGGCGAAGAGCAGAAAGAATTGGCCTCCGGGTCTGCGGTTGGCAACGTCGACCTCAATGGGTCAGCTTGTTGCGCATGTAGGTGCGCCTGAGCCTTCTTGGACTCTAGGGACCATTGCTTAGATTTAACTTCAACCTACACGGCCGACACGTCCGACAGCTGCCATTCTAGTAGAGGAGCATCTGTGTCGAGGCTTTGGAGAACACAAAGCTCCCAAGCAATGGAATCGAACTCTGGCTTCGCCTCATTGCCGGCCATGGCAGAGTAGTACGCTTGAGCTCGCCTGAGAGCAAGTGTCAAGAATTCCATATCCTCAGCCATGATGTTGCCGCTGCTTGTCACTTGCCAAGCTCGCTGGGAATAGCTGAAGAGAACATCTGCGTGGCTTCTATACCTGGGTGGTTGACGCAATCAGACCGCGGGTTGTAGAGTGGGGCGAGCTCAGAAGTTGCAATCATTTTGAGTTTGAGCAGAGTCCGGAGGGTAAAACATACAACACCGAAAGGGGAACGTTCGTGGTCAAGACTCTTCTCCCCAAGAAGTAGCGTGAAAAGCTTTGTGTGCAGAAGTCTCTTCCCTGCCCATCCAGCCGCAAAGTCGACCTTCCTTCTCCCGTAACACATCCATGGAGTGCGCCAGACCACCAGAAACGACTTCACAGTCTATCTGGAATTTCCAAAACAATGAAGCACTATTTTTGAAATGTTGCCAGAAGATTCTATGCAAGTGTTGGCATCTTGGAAAGCTCCAGCGGATTCTTTGCCAATAGTCTTCGTCAACACTTTCATTTCCAGAAGCTTTCTCAACACCAAGCTGAGCTACCGGTTCCATTCTATTCTCTACGTCGAACCACAGACGCTGCGCGCTCGGCTGGGCCGAGGCGGGCAACACGCAGCGTTTACAACAATGTCTAAAACATACAGACACACATTATCAAACCAACAAAAAACAAGAGCAAAAACAACAACCCCTGAACTAGTAACATACGAATCAACCCACGCTCTTACTACACGTATATTTCTATACGTAACACAGAGCCGGCAATCACGTAGA